CCGGGCGGGCCTTGAACTCACAGACAGCTGCCTGCCTCTGCCTCCCCAGTGCTGGGATTAAAGGCGTGCGCCACCACTGCCCGACCCTCAATCTGATAGAGTTGAAAGTCCCTGATCCATGCTCACTTTGGCAGCACATATACTAAAATTAGAATGATAGAGATTAGCATGGCCCCTGTTCAAGGATGACACAAAAATTTGTGAAGCATTCCATATTTTTGAATCCTCAATAGAAGAAACTCAAACAGCCAAAAGGCACTTAAGGAATTGTTCAACATCCTTAGTCGTCAGGGAAATGCAACTCAAAACAACTCTGAGATTATATCTTACACTGATCAGAATGGCTAAAACCAAAAACACTGATGACAGCTTATGCTAGAGAGGATGTGGAGTAAGAGGACCACTCCTCCACTGCTGGTGGGAGTACAAACTTGTACAGCCACTGTGGAAATATGTATGGCGGTTTCTCAGAAAATTGGGACTCAATCTACCTCAAGACCCAGCTATACCACTTTTGGGCAGATACCCAAAAGATGCACAATTATACTACAAGGACACTTGCTCAACTATGTTTATAGCAGCACTATTCATAATAGCTAGGACTTGGAAACAACCTAGATGCCCCTCACCTGAAAAATGGATAAAGAAAATGTGGTACATTTTCGCAATGGACTATTACTCAGCTGTAAAAAACAATGACATCTTGAAATTTGCACGCAAATGGATGGAACTAGGAAAAAAACATCCTGAGTGAGGTAGCCCAGACTCAGAAAGACAAATATGGTATGTATTCACTCATAAGTGGATATTAGATGTAAAGCAAAGGATAACATGACTACAATCCACACCCCCAGAGAAGCTAGGTAACATATGTCCCTAAGAAGGACATATATGGGGAGTGGAGGGGGGATGGCTAGAGGCAGGTGGGATGTTGGGGATGGGGAAGGGATTGACATGTGAAGCAAGCTTGTTCCTAATTTGAACTAATAAAATAAAATAAAGAAGGACATATATGGAGGGTCCCAGGAAGGGAAAATAGTTGAGATCTCCTTGGTAAAGTGGGACGGAGGGTAGAAGGGAGGGGATGGAAGAAGAGAACATTAGGGATCAAGAAGATCCAGCTGGGGCAGGGATGGAGGTGGAGACCAAAGAAAGGAAGCCATTATGGGGTTAGGGAGAAACCTGGGGCTAGAGAAATTTCCAGGAATCCACAAGGATGACCCCAGCTAAGACTCCTAACAATAGTGGAGAAGGTTCGTGAACTGGCCTTCCCCTGTAATCAAGTTAGTGACTACCCTAATTGTCATCATAGGACCCACATCCAGATGCAGTGACCACAGCCAAGCACTGGGCTGAGCTCCTGGAGTTCAGTTGAAGAGAGGGAGGAGTGATCATATGAACAAGGGAAGGTCAAGAGCATGATGGGAAAACCACAGAGACAGCTGACCTGAGCTAGAGGGAGCTCATGGACTATGGACTGACAGCTGGGGAACCTTCATGGAACTGAACTAGACCTTCTGAATGTGGGTGACAGTTATATGACCTGATCTGTTGGGAGGCACGGCAGGGCACCAGAACCTATCTCAGGGGCATGAACTAGCTTTTTGGAGCCCATTCCCTATGCTGGGAAAACTTGCTCAGCATTGATACAGGGAGGAGGGTCTTGGTGTGCCTCAGTTTGGTATACCAGACTTTGTTGACCCTCCAAGGAAGGCCTTACCCCCTCTGAGGAGTGGATTGGAGTGGGAAGGGAGTTAGCGGGGATGGGGACAGGTGAATGGGAGGGAGGTGGAACTGAGGTTGGTATGTAAAATGAAAAATAATTTTTTAATAAAAAAATAATTAAAAAAGAAAGTCCCCGATCCAGTTTAGCCCCCTGATTTTATGAGAAGGAAATTGGGGTCCCAGGGAAAGGAGAGAATGAATGTACTCAGACACAATATCAGTTGTGCTAGCCAGACGCCAAATCTTCTGATTCGGAATCAGCTGTTGGCTTATGCTGTGTGAAAATCAGAACTGCACTTTCCAATAAAACAAAGTCAAAATGCTAAAAGTACAGCTCGGTGTTACAAAATATGCCGAACACATGTAAAGCCCAGAGTTCCATACTCCACAATACAGAAACAAACAAAACATGCAGTGCATAGATATAGATAGAGTCTCAGGCTAGCCCACAAGCAAAGCCTATTTAACCAGAGTTTACAACAAAAACAATTATCATTATAATGAACCAAACATCTTAGTTTGATAGTATGAAAACAGCAGGGCTTGCATCTGCTCACAGAGACAGAAATGACAAGCACAAGGCCTGTACAGGTCTGCACCGGGTCCCCTGTGTATATGTTATGGCTGTTAGCTTGGTGTTCCTGTGGGACTCTTAACAGTGAGAGTGGGTTGTCTCTGACTTTTTTGTCTACTCTTGAGACTCTTCCTCCTGTTGGGTTGCCTTGTCCAGACTTGGTATGAGGGTCTTTGCCTCGTCTTATTGTATCTTGTTTTGTCCTATTTGGCTGTCGTCTCTTAGAGGCCTGCTCTTTTCTGAAAGGAAATGAAAGGGGAGTGGATCTGGGTGTGGGTGGACTGGAAGGAGTGGAAAGAGGGGAAACTGTGGCCAGGATATATTGGATGAGAGGAGATCTATTTTCAATAAAAATTTTAAAAAAGAAAACAGTAAGAGTTATTTTTATTTGGTTGGGTTTTGAATTGTTTTGGGAAGTTAATAATGCTTACAATATATTTTGAACAAATTCATCCCCTACTATCACCCCTCTAAATCTTGCCATATACCCTACCAACACTCCCTCCAAACTGAATTTACTTTCCCTCACTAAATGGACCCAGTGAGTTAAAAGGAGAGCACATGAAGTAAAGCATTTGCTTTTTTAAAAAAAATAGGGCCTGACTATGTAGCTCAGGCTAGACTCCAACTCATGATTTCCTGCCTCAGCTTTTTCAGTGCTATAAAACAGTTTCTAAAATAAAAATGTTATGAATGCAAGTATTTTAGACCAGCATTCAATAATTCATAATAAACATGCAATATCCATAATTCATAATAGTATGTAAGGAAGGCAATGACTTCATAATAAGAACTCAAATATTTGTCATAAAAATAAAGAAGTGTTCACTCAAATGGTAATATAATTGATTCTATCTTTCCTTTTGAATAAATGCATTATAAACTAGTTTTGTATTATTTGAGAACATGTATCATTCTCTGAAGACATTAAAGTACATTCACAAAGATTCTTATACACCAGAGGCACATTAAGACTCCCATGGACCAAAGCAGGATAATACACCGTAGTTCACCCGCTTACAGGGTCTAGAATTAATCCATGTCACAGGGTGTGATGAAGTTTCCTATACTAGGAGAAGCAGAAAAAATATGTTGAAGCCAAAGAGACAGGAACTGCACATGTAAAGGTGCATACCGTCACCAAGGGAGCAGCCACTAGTCATATGTGGATCCTGAAGCTTGGCTCATGCTAAGAGAAATGAGCCTGAAGTATTAAATGCAAACTAGGTTTCACACAGGGAAAAATATATTTCTGTACCCAAAATATATCAAGCAAAAATAAATAAAACAATATAAAAACAAGCAGTTTACAAAAACTATTGGGAAAATGGGAGCATCAGACAGAATATTCACTAGGATGCTTCAAGTATATATATTTAAAGGGGGAAAGGGGAGGGAGAAGGGGGGAGAGGGAGAAGAGGGTTAGAAGGGGAGGAGAGGGGAAAGGGGAGTAATAGACAGACAGACTGACTGAAGAAGGAACCATGGACTTATGCATTCTCTAATTTTACCCTTACAACTTTAAAGTAATGGAAGTTTCAGTTTTAATATAAACTCATGATATTTATGTGTCTGATCTATAAAAAACCAAGGTGAGAGCATGGAATACTTGCCTCAAACTTCACAGAATATGTGTAGATCACACTGAAATAATCTTCATCTTCAGGAATTTCCAAAGGGGGTTCATTGCAAGTTAGGTGATTTTCATCTGTGTGTTTATAGCTAATAAAAGAGAAAAGGGGGAGATTCTGTAGGTTTATAGCTAATAAAAGAGAAAAGGGGGGAGATCCCCATTATGTTCTTTATTTAGAACTCTTTTGAAACTCACTATCCTCCTGCCTCTTTCTTTTGACTTGGAATGTTGAAATTATATGAATGAAAATGATAATCACCTATAGTTCTTCATGATTTTAAATACTTTTGTTTTTTAAATGTTTCAACCATTGGGACTCTATATACTACCTAAAACTATAATTACGAACATTCCTTTCACCTGAATAGAAAGAAAATATATTCTACTACAGAATGACTTTTTTTCTTCTTTTGCCTCACCCCTCTTCAATACAATACCTTGTAATTTTAACTATAGGGCTAGAATATTAAGTACATGAAGAAGAAATCACATTTGTAAGCACACAGATATATGAGAGCCTACTATGTATAAAGCATCAAGCTTAAGCAATGAAAGTTATTAGAAATATACACTACTAGTTAAATTAGTATAGCCATTATGGAAAGGGAATAGAGGTTCCTATATGATTTACCCACCCAACTTCTGGGTATATCAGATGGAGATGAATGAACAATTCTTTGGGCATTTACTAGGGCTCAAGGTACAATGGTAGATCTCTAATTGTTCAGTCTCTTTAAAAGCGGGTCTTCAGGCTCTTCCTACATATGTGCAGGGATAGATGACTCAGTACTTTTAGAGGCTCCTGATTTGGCTGTTAAAAGAGCTCTAATCATTAGTAGATACTTCCCCTCACCTGATGCTTTTCTAATAGAAGCTACTGTTACCAAAGCTGTCCTCTAAGGAAAAATAAATCAAACTATATTTATATTAATCTTTTAATAATAAAGCAGCAGCTAGAATACTCTCAGTAAACCTATTCTCCTTTTTTGAATTCTTCTGCACATTGTGTAACACTCACATACTTAGCATATGGAACACAGAGTAAAAGAATAGTTAAGCTTCCAAAATACAGAATGCAATGTATGCAATGGTATCCTAAAAGTAAAAAAGTCAAGTTCAGAATCTCTACATTTAAAATCCATTTTTACATCATTAGAACCAATTAAAAAGTAACTCTATAATTACCTTTTGGGTTCAACTCTGGAACTAATCAATTTTGCAACATTCCCGGTTGTGTCACTCTCCATGTGATATGTAATAGTAATGTCAACATGGTTGAACAGGTACAAGCTATTGTTTTTGAATTCAGACTGTAAAAAGATAAAAGAACTTTGAACTTTTCCTAGAAACTAAAAAGTACAAAACCTTGAGCCAAGACACACAGGGGTGTGCCTAGGCCCTATCCCAAAGGATATGATAGACTCTGATGACACCCTATGGAAGGCCTTACCATCCAGGGGCAGCAGAAAAGATATGTGATAGACAGGGTTTTAGTTGGGGGGGTTGGAGGGGAGGGAGAAGGAACTGGGATTGACATGTAAAACAATCTTGTTTCTAATTCAAATAAAAATACAAAACCTGATAATGGAATAAAAATTAAACACACTAATTCATTTTTTTCAATGTACCACAGGGCTGGAGAGGTAACTCAGCAGTTAAGAGCACTTGGGCTTGCAGAAGACCAGGATTTACTCACCAGCATCTACATAGTGTTTTACCACCTGTGGTAACTCCAGTTCCAAGGGACCTGACGCCCTTTTCTGATCTTTACATAGTTATTCATGACTGTAAAACTCAACACATGAGAGGCTAAGGCAAGAGAACTGTTTCCTGTTCCAGACTGGCCTGGGCTAGAATGAGAGCCTTTCTAAAACAAAAATGTCATCAATGTATAAAAATTATGTACATGATGAGTTTGGCTTTCCTCATCAGAGAAGCTTCCTCCTGCAGCAGATGGGAACAAATTGAGACCTATAACCAGATATTACATTACATACAGAGAGATGAGAGAGGGGGGGAGAGAAGGAGGGAGGAAGGGAGAGAAGGGTGGGAGCGAGAGAAAGAGGGAGGGAGGGAGGGAGAGAGGGAGACATACAAAGACAGAGAGGCACCACAAAATACACATTTTTATTTGTGATGTCTCCATCAAACCCCTCCCCTTAGAGCTCAGTGAACCCCAAAGAGAAGACAAAAAAGGAGTGTGAGAACCAAAGGGGATAGAGGACAACAGGAGAAGAAGGCCTTCTAAATGAACATGAGTAAAGCTCATATGGACTCACAGAGACTGAAGCAGCAAGCACGGGCCCTACACAGGTCTGCACCAGGTCCTCTGCGTATGTATTATGGCTACAGGTTTAGTGTTTTTATAGGATTCTTTTTTCTTATTTTTTATTAGTTCAAATTAGGAACAAGCTTGCTTCACATGTCAATCCCTTCTCCCTCTCCCTCCTCCCCCACCTTTCCCCCCTACTCTCAACCTAACCCCCACCCCATCCACCCTCCCCTCCCCAGGCAGGGTAGGGCCCTTGATGGTGGCTCCCCAAAGTCCACCACATCATCCTGGGCCGGGCCTAGGCCATCCCCCGTGTGTCCAGGCCAAGAGTGCATCCCTTCACGTAGGATGGACTCTCAAAGTCTTTTTATGGGATTCTTGAGTGTGTGAAAGCTTGCACCTCTGATTCTTGTGCCTTCTCTAGAGCCCATTGACTTTTGTTGGTTTGCCTTGTCCAATTGGTATGTGGTGGTTTTTGTTTTATTTATCTTACTATATTTCATTTTGTTATACTTTGTTGTTATCTCTTAGAAGCATGTTGATTTCTAATGAGAGACAGAAAGAAAGTAGATCTGGATGACAGGCGATATGGAGAGGAACCATAGGAGTAGAGAGAAGAGAAACTGTAATCAGGACATATTGTATAAGAAAAGACTATTTTCAACAAAAGTGAGGGTGGGAGAAGAGGAGGAGACAGGAATATCAGGAGTCCAAAATAACCTCAGCTACATA